GAGCCTTGGATTTGAGGTCATTTATTCTAAATAACACAGTTCTTTGACAGTTGGTTGACAAATATTTTGAAAATGATAGTATTTTTATTTTAATAAAAAATTTATTATTATAATTAGCTGATTTTATAAGGAAAGTGAATTATAATGATTTCTTGCTTGTACATACGTATAACTGATATTGTTATTCATGATATAGCAGTTATGTTTTTTATACTTTTTATAGAAATATTAATAACAGTGTCAATGTTTGTAATGCTCATAGGTAAGACAAATTATTATCAATTTAAAAACTTTGGATTTTGTATGTATATTCTGCAAAATGTGTTTTGTAATAATAATAATGATAATAATGATGATAATAATTGCAGTAACAACTGTTAACTGCTTAATTCTTTCAATTTGTCATGGCGTCTATGAAGACAACATTTCGCAAAGGTTGCTGACACTCCATGACATGTGACTCCAGAACAATTTTCACCGACTTGCGAAAAATTCGTCTCTCACGAAATTAAAGCAATATACAGTCAAATGCATTGTTCTTGTTCTAAATAAAGTTCCATCGTCAGGAAGCCATTATTATGATTGAAATTCAAATTGCGAAGAGCCAATCACAGATGTGTAATCATAGCTGCACAACATTGGTCATATTTCTCAAATGAGTTTTGAAAAAATTATGGAATCAGTTTTTATACATTTATTAGTAACAATGATATTGTGTAATTTGTTTGAAATTTTTTGGTGAAACTACTGTAAATATGTTGTTAGCATTTACATATGTAATCTTGGTGCTTTTCTTTAAGTTGTGGTCTGAGGTACAGAATTTGGAAAATATCTCAGACTTTGATTTGTATGGCATATGTAGCACATGTGATGTGGTTTCTATGCTCTGTATCACACAGGTTTCAAAGCTGTGGGTTTTGAATGACCTTTTCACCTACATTATCAACTGTTGTATCCTTCCACAAAGTAGGTCCATGCAATAAACGTCCATTTGAATATTAGAAAGTGAAAAGTAAAATTGTTTGTATGAATGATGTACACTTCTCAGTTCTTTGAATTGTTTCTGTAAACAGGAGTATTCCAAGTCATACCTCATACCCATGCTGACGTAAAGCCTCTAAACACATACTTATTTTTGTGAAATTATAACCTTTCTATACTTAAAATAGATACCCTATGTAAGCCCTCTCTCAGTGACCTTTGTAACCAGTGACAACGGGTCTCCCTAACGTCACAGTAGAGGCACTCAAAGCAGACAAATTTATCTCACAGGTTCGGGTTATGGCATGGACAGCTTCACCGATATTTACCAGTGCAAGGGAGGTGTACGACCAAACACACATGAAATAGTTTCTCACAAAAAATGATTTAATAAATAACAACAAAAAATTGCACACTGGCTAACTATACACAACATCAATATAGCTTAGCCTAAAGCAGCAAAATGTATACACTAGACTCAGTAAATTCAGAATAGAAAATACTAAATGCCCAATTCAATTTCTCCTATCAGTAACAGGAATCCACTCAAAATTTACAACTTACCACAATGTCACAAATAGGCCAAACATAAGAATAGTTAAAGGGGTCTACGTAAGATATACCACAGAACAATCTATGTTTAGTACTGAATACAGGAATATGTAACAAACGCAATAGAAATACGGTTTATGCTCCCTAACGCTTAAACGCACAAACCCGTATAACAACAATTTTAGCCGGAATGGCCGAAAATGTAAAACAGAAAACTGAGCGCGCGGTACGCTGAATAGTGCGACGGAAAAGCCAAATATTAGAGAGTTTAAGATTTGCGTACGTAACGGGAACGTAACGTGATGTTCTAATTGCGTTTGCGTTACGTTCTCGGGTGTCAGAAAACGATTAAGTACAAGCGCCCACAACGGGAACGTAACTGAAACCAGAACCATGTCAATCAGTCTCTCATTGGGCAACAATAACTACCTAATAAAATTTGTTATGTCATTTCACGTTCGGAGTCAGAATTAGTAATTAGTTCACAGACATTTGACAGAGCTCTCACTATTTCCATCCACTCTGCTGAGGTCCTAGGCCTGTTTGCCGAATCCTCTTTCAGCAGATCAATGTCATGCGTTTTCAGTAGGTATAAATGTCAGCTAAAATGCATCCAATA